TGCACAAAGCTCCATATACACAGTGACTCGGAGACCTCCCCCCCCACACACACACATACACCCAGAGAAGGACACACAGCAGGAAGACAGGAAGATGCTGGATGTGACCGCTGGACACTCTGGATCTTGGATTTTCTGTTCTAGGGTTAACACCTTCACATTTCCATCTGAAACTCTTCCAGGAGGAACATGCCAGGAACCTTGACAGCATGCTCTGTTTATGTGAAAACATGTACAGAAGATCCTGAATCACCGATGGGTGTCATTTGCTGCCCTCTACCCCCACCAATCCCACTCTAGCCCTTGTGCTTCCTGCTGTAGGGACTGTCCACAAAGTTCAGTTTCCACTGCTCAGGGTTTAAGAGCTTCCTCATGGGGTTACATGGTTGTATTCAGGGAACTCACCCAGATTTGTTCTTGGAATGCTTCTACTGTGTAGGGGGAAACACCTTTAATTCTTCTGGGTATACCTCTATCCTTTTAAATCTCCAAGACATGCACGTACAAACATACAACACACACGCACGCCCACTCTTGAGTATAGTTATCCATTTATTTGTGCAGAGATGCAAAAATCTTGTAGGAATATGCCAGGCTTTGAGCTATAACTGGACTAAGAAGCCTCACCTGCCCCTCTGAAAATACAGTTCAAAGGATGCCCTGCAACAGGGGTGGCTTAGAGCAGTGGATCCAAGAGTCTAAGAAAACATACAGCTCGGCTGGGAAGGTGGCTCAGTGGTAGAGTGCTTGCCTCGCATGCATGAAGCCCTGGGATCAATTCCTCAGGACCACATAAAAGAAAAATCCAGACGTGGTGCTGTGGCTCAAATGGTAGAGGGCTAGCCCGGAGCAAAAGGAGCTCAGGGACAGTGGCCAAGCTCTGAATTCAAGCCCCAGGACTGGCAAAACAAAACATAACATAGAACTTTTGCTTGGTGCCTGTGTCATGCCTAAGCCTAGCTACTTAGGAGGCTTAGATCTGAGGATCATAGTTCAAAGCCAGCCCAACAAGAAAAATCCACAAGACTCGTATCTTCCTCTAACTACCAAAAAGTAAGACATGGAGCTGTGGTTGAAGTGGTAGAGTGCCAGACTTGCATGAAAAAGCTAAGGGACAGAACTCAGGCCCTCCATTCAAGACTTAGCACTAGCACCAAATACTGATGATGATGATGATGATGAGTCTTCTTTCACTGCATGTTCATTTTTAAACATTTTTTTCATCTCTATGATGATCTATGAGGACCTTATAAAAATTGTTTCTTGGCCTTTTGGCTGAGATCAAGTAAGGGTTGAGAGAGCAGGAGAGGGAGACAAAGAGGAGAGAGAAAGGAGGAGAGGGGGAGTGAGAGAGAGAAAAAAAGAGAGAGAGAAAGAGAAGAAGGGAAAGGCTAAGCCGCAAATGTCCCATTATTCATAAGATTACATAAGATTGCATGAAAGCGGAGTTTTAATTTGGCTTTGCTTGGAAAGCTAAACAAAAAAACACCCACTTTCAAATCGGCATTGTCTTTACAGAAGCAGAAGGTGGCACACCAGGAGGAACCAAGCTTCCTTTCTTGCTTTGGCCAGAGGCTGTTGCTGTGAAGCTAGGCTAAACTTGGTCTCCATCACTTGCCCCTCCCCCTCCCCCACCCCCCTTCCCACCACCCTTGTATCCCTAGTGCTGCTGCATTGCCCACAGTTGTGAAATTTAGGCTTGAACTGGATCATCATGGAAGACTCGTTCTCCCTCCAATAGAGGGAAATCTTATAAATAACATACCGTTTTAAATTGTATCTCCTCGAGTACTTCTTAGTCTTCTTGGGTTGAAGCCACTTGGAGATGTAGGAGTGGAGGATGGTAAGAGCCTCAGCTCAGCTTGGTGGCTCACACCTGTCCTCCTAGCTACTCAGGAGACTGAGATCAGAGAATTGAGGTTCAGAGCATGGAAGCCATGAGACTTTGATCTCTAATTAACTACCAGAAAGTCAGAAGTGGAACTGTGGCTCAAGTGGTAGAGTGCCAGTCTTGAGCAAAACAGTACCAGGACAGTACCCAGGCTCTGAGTTCAAGTCCCAGGAAAAAAAAAACCCACAGCTTATTGGCTGGATGACCCCCCAGTGTCTCTGGACAATGCCTGGGAACTGACACACAAACCCAAGAGTGCGCAGTTCTACGTTGGCATCCCAAAATATCAAAATCTCTAAGGTCTGACATGAAAATCACAATTCTCAAATATGAAAACACCCAAATGTTGAAAATTCTGACACCTGAAATTCCCTAATTCCCTTTGGCAAAACAAACAAACAAACAAGAACTCAGGCTCTGTAAGAAAGCCTGAAAAACAAATTCAAGGGAAGGAATTTTTACCTTTTTTCTTTCTTCTGGTACTGAGGTTTGAACTCAAGGCCTCATACTTGCTCAGGAGGTGCTCTACCACTTGAGCCACACTCCCTGCCCAGCAATGGGTATTTTTTTTATTGCAAATGAGACAGCTGATTCCATAAAGTGGAAGGGGTATGTAGAAACCTGTATTATTATTATTGTTGTTGTTGTTGTTGTTGTTATGGTGTTGGGTGTGTCTGATGTTTCCATAGGAGGTGAGTATAGGAATTTGAGAGGATCAGGTCAAGAAATTCTCCCTTTGTGCAGTGAGGCACCATCCAATTAGAGATAATAAACACTGACCAAGAGCTGGCATTTCCTGAGACCTGGAACAGAAATTTCCTCTGCTGGGATGGACTCCATGCTTACAAACATAGTCACGTCCTGGACTTCAAGAGTTTAGGTGACCCATCACCAGATTGATCAATTTTGTGAAAGAGAGGCTGTTCACTTTGGCTTTTTGCACATGACTGCAGTTAGAAAAATCCTGGATGCAGACAATTGCCAAACACTGTGATATGCATGGAGACATTTAGCTTGACCACTTCACTGATAGGTTTTTCTGCTCATAATTGTGCAACCACACAGCTGTCATTAGGACCTGAATGTTCAGGCTTGCAGAAAAAAGCAGTACTGTCACATATTTTATTGTATTAAAGTGGATGGGGGGTGCTTCTATATCTCTTGAATAAATACCATTTTTAAGGATAACTGTCTTTCAAAAAAATGTTTTTTCTTTAAGCCAGGCACAGGTGGCTCATATCTGTAATCCTAACTATTCAGGTGGCTGAAATCTGAGGATTGTGGTTCAAAGCCAGCCCAAGCAGAAAAGTCCCTGTAAGACTCTTACCTCCAATGAACCACCACCAAACCAGTAGTGGAACAGTGGCTCAAAGTGGTAGAGTGCTAGCCTTGAGCAAGAGAGACAGGGACAGCGGCCCAGGCTCTGAGTTTAAGCCCCATAACCTCCTTCCTACCCCTGCAAAAAAAAGTATTTTTTATTGTTGATGTTCCAAGAATTAATTCTATTTTGATCTTTTGGGACTGTAGGCTGGAGGACTTTTGGTCCTTCCGGATTTCAATGCTGGGATTATGGCTGTAGGATGGTGTCCCTAGGGATTATGGGAAAACTCTATATTCAATAAGTGTCTGGGTGACCAGCCCAGCATTGGTGCACACAGCTCCTTTAGTAACTCCTCAGGTTCCTATCACTACTGTGCAAAGTCATCATAAACAGAGTGATGACTTATGACCATACACAAATAAGAACAGAGCTCCCTCTCACTGTTTCCTAGGACCTTTTCTAAAAAAAAAAAAAAGGAACAGTCTGCCAGATAGTGGCTCAAGCCTGCAATTCTAGCTGCTTGGGAGGCAGAAATTGGGAGGTTCAAACCTAGTCTAGTTTTAAAAAAATATTTCTAAGCTTCCATCGCAATGGTGGTACACCCCAGGGAAGAATGAATAGGAGGATTGCAGTCCATGATGGCATGCATACAGCAAAATCCTATCTGGAAAACAACCAATGTAGAAAGTGGTTGGCAGAGTGACTCAAGAGGTACAGCACCTGTCTTAGCAAGCTCAAGTCTCTGAGTTCAAATCCTGGTATTGCAAACAAACAAACAAAAAAAGCAAAAACCGAAAACCAGAAGAGCAATATGTGTGTCCATTCCTGGCGTGCCGTTCATTGGCAGCAGAAACTCAGAAGGAGGCGGGGGGGGGGGGGGGGGGAGTGGAGGAAGGTGTAGAGAGGGGGTGCTGGGGGTGGTGGTGTTGTAAGACAGGATAGGAACACTTAGTTTAATTGCCTGAGGAGGGTCAGAAGCAACTCTTCATTCAGCCCCACCAAGCTAATTAGTTGGAAAACAACATTCTCAGCCCATAAACAAGAGTCTTTTTTTTTCTATAAGCAATTAGGAACGACCCTAATCTTATTCACTTAAACATACATCCCACACCAAAGCTGGAAAGACACCAAAGAGTTGGAAAGACACCAAAGTTGAGTCTGAACAACTGCCTTTGTGAATCCTCAAAGCCTTGCAATGAAAGACCAGTCGTCCATCCTTTGAAGCGTTCCCTCTTTGCCTACTCCTGAGCATTCATTTTCATGTGCAGCAGCTGGACAGCAGGAGGCTAGAGCCCCAACCCCACTGGGAGCTGCACCCACCATGCTAACCCAGCCCTTCCCCTGCCCCAACCTCACACCTCATACATTGCTCCTCACAGCCGTGTGAGTGTCTCTGCCTTCTGCCAGCCTGGAAGTATTTTGAGACCCAGTGTATAGCCACCACCTGCCCTTGGAGCCTTCTATTGCTTTGCACAGAGAAAGGACAAAGTAAACCACTGTTGAATAAACCAGTGGAGGATGGATGGATGGATGGATGGATGGATGGATGGATGTGGATGAAAGGAAGGAAAGATGGATAGATAGATAGATGGATAGATGGATGGATGGATGGATGGATAGATAGATGGATGGAAGGATGGATGATGGATGGAAAGGTAGAAGAAAGGAGGAAAGCTGGCTCACACCTGTCCTCCTAGCTACTCAGGAGGCTGAGATCTGAGGATCTCAGTTCAAAGCCAGCCTGGGCAGGAAAAGTCCACAAGATTTATCTTAGGCAGAAGTGCGAGCCAGTCCCGCGGATCTGTGTCTTGCTCCAACAGTGTTTGGACGGAACAGACCTGGGGACTCCTCCTTTCCACCAACTGCCTCTCCACTCACTGCCTCTGACCCTTATCTTCTCGCCTGTGGCCTGCTTCCAGGACCAACCAACGCCGTGTTTTCCTGTGGTTAGCGCTGTATTGACGACCAGCCATGACCTCCCAGATTCATCAGAATTACTCCACCGAGGTGGAGGCTGCCGTCAACCGCCTGGTCAACGTGCATCTGCGGCCTCCTACACCTGCCTCTCTCTGGGCTACTATTTCAATCGCGAGGATGTGGCTCTGGAGGGCGTGGGCGCCCAGCGCCTCCTGAAGATGCAGAACCAGGATGTGCAGAAACCTTCTCAGGATGAGTGGGGCAAAACCGTGGAAGCCATGGAAGCCGCCCTGGCCCTGGAGAAGAGCCTGAACCAAGCCATTGTGGATCTTCATGGTTCTGCTCGCACAGACCCCCATCTCTGAGACTTCCTAGAGAACCACTTCCTGGATGAAGAGGTGAAGCTCATCAAGAAGATGGGCGACCACTTAACCAACCTCCGCAGGCTGGGGGCGGCCCCTCAGGCCCAGCAGGGCGAGGATCTTTTCGAATGTCTCACTCTCAAACATGACTAGAAAACTCCAGAGCCCAGCAGCCTTTGAGGGGCCATCTCTGCCTTGCCGCACATCAGGGTTTCCACCCGAGTTTCTGCCTCTAGCCATTGGGAAACTTCCTAACTAACCATCCTGGAACCCTTCCCAAGCCTTGGACCAAATGAAAATAAAGCTTTTTGCAGCAAAAAAAAAAAGACTTATCTTCAATAAACCACCAGAAAATGGGAAGTGGCGCTGTGGCTCAAGTGGTAGAGCACTTACCTTGAGCTGAAGAGCTGAGGGACAGCGCCCAGGCCAGAGTTCAAGCCCCATGACTGACAAAAAAAAAAAAGAAAGAAAGAAAGAAAGAAAGGAGGAAAGATAGAAGGAGGGATGGAGGAAGGGAAGGAGGAAGAAGGGGGAGGGAGAAAGAAAGGGTGGAGGGAGGTTTTTTTATTGTGAGAATACTGTACAGAGGGTTTTTAAAAAAGGGAATAAAGAGATTATTGGTTGGTATAAGGATTTGCAAATTATCACAGCAAATAACATTTAGAATGGGAGGGAAGGGAGGAGGAGAAGGGGGGCAGGAAAGGAAGAGAAAGAGAGAAAAAAAGGAGGAGAGATAGAAAATGGATGAGGCTGGTGCTCTGAGGTTGAGGTGTAACTTAAAAAACAAAAAACCCCAACTAAAAGAATGTCTGGTGTCGGGCAGGAGCAGAATTTGCACTTTGGAGCTCTACTCTCCCAGATGGGCACTTAAGGGTTTGGCTCCGTGTGGTGGTGGCAGTTCATGGAGAGTTCAAATCCCCTTGCAGACACGTGTGGGTGAATAAGTGGCATAGTCTTTCTTGCTTCCAAGTGCTTGATAGAGGCTCCCAGATGCATGGGGGTGTGCACAGAGAGCCTCGAGTGGATTTCACCCTGGGACGGAGTCTATAAATATGCATGCTGGGTATCATGAATCATTTAGAGCCGGCTTGGTTGCCTTTTCTCTCTCTCTCTCTCTCTCTCTTTCTTTCTCTCTCTTTTTTAAAGGATGGTTTGAGTGACTCAGAGATGTTGGCAAGCACCCTCAAACTGACTAGAACCCAACTCTACAAGATGCTGGCTGTCTAACTTTATTCTCCAAACTTCTCCCTAAGTTTGAAAGGACACCGCGGAGGAGAGAGACATGGTTACCAATGAGCTTGAGGCCAAGGGGTGAAGATTCTGGCTATTTCACAACTTTTATCTCCACTTTTATTTCACTGGAGATTTTGAGGGAGTTTACTTCTCCTCTTGGAGGCTCAGTTTCCACATCAGAATCTCCCTCTGCCCCCCCCCCCCACTCCCCTCAGTGCTAGGAACTGAATCCAGGACTTTATACATGCTAGCCAAGCATTCAACTATTTGTGCCATATACCCTTCCAGATGTTTTCATTGCTTTATCTTGTTTTTCTCTCTCTCTTTTTTTTGAGACAGAGTATCTCTATTACCTTTGGCTGGACTGGCCTTGGCCTTGTGATTCTCCTGACTTTGCTCTCCCAAGTAGCTGGAATTACAGGTGTGTGGTACCATAACCGGCTATCATAAAAAACCTTTTCCACCCTCATACTTTGTATCTGCCTGGATAGCTTTGTCAGTCATCTCCATCTCACCCCAGAGGGCTATTCTAGAAACTGCCATGGTAGAAAAAAATGTTAACCCACTATGGATGGTCCTCAGGTCCACACCTGACCCCAATCAGAGTCCTCTGAGATTGGGATACTGGGAACTAGAGATTGTATTGGTATGCCAGATCAGCTTGAGAACCGCTGATACCTGTGTCTCCTTTCACATGGACACATAGGTATCACGTGAGATTTCTTCCACACAGGAATGGAGAAAGCCAGTCTGGGTAGAGACATTGGATATGAAAAAGCAATTCAGAGACAAGATGGACTGAGAGATTGACATGTGAGCCTGGAAAAGGCCCAATTTCCTCTCAGACACAGGCAGGCCCAGGCACAGGGCTGACATGCCTCCCGTGAGTCACCCCAATATTCCTACTTCCTGAAACTCATTGTGTTTCTGTCACTTACAACCAAGAGTCGCCGTCTACCAACTTTAATGTTTTGGTTAAGTTCAAAGTAGTATCAGATGGCTCTTTTATTTCAGATCATTTCTACTTTGATTTTTTCCCACTAAGAAAAATGGGAAGAATGGTTTTTCTAGAACCATCCAGCTCACCCCCACCCACTCATCCACCCACCTACGGAGTATATATCATTCAGTCCAGTACCTTGTACACAGGAAATGCCCAGCTAAGGACCAGAAGCCATTCTGTCCACATTCTACACCGAGACAGTTGGCTGTCTGTCTTCTGTGTGCCTCTCCTGAAGGAATGGTTTCTATCTTCTTCCTCACTGCCATGGGGGAGAGGGGAGGGGAGTGGGCATGGTTCAGTTTGGAATTGATTTGGGGGAATGGGAGAGAGTGAGGGACAGTTTAGAACCATAGTGGAAGATCCCTTTTCAAGCAACTGATCTCATTCAATGAGAGCAAGGAGAACCGGCAAGGTCAGTACGTGAACTTGGCCTACATCCAAGGAACAAATACAGTCTCTGTTCAAACTTTTCCATCTGGAATATAATAGGCCCCAAGGGAGGGCCTATGAGCCCGTGAACTTGACCCCAATGGCCATCCCCTTTTCTCACCTCCACCCCCTCTCCCCACACACTCTTCTTCCCTCCCCATTAAATGTCCATGGCCTTGAGGCTCTTACACCTTCCCAGCCTATGGGGAAAGGAATCATTTCTAGTTTCCTGTCTCACAATATGAAGCACGGGTTTGAGGACAATAGTTTCAAATTGAATTATGGGACTGTGTGGACTGCCTGTCTGACCTTGGATCTCAAAATCAATAGAGATGTTTTGTCTATCTCTGTCATCTGCATGGTTTTCATACCAGGGTTAAGTTCACTCTGGAGTTTAGTACTGATTCTTTCTATAAGAGACCCCCTTCCATATGGAGAGTGCTATACCTAATAAGGCTCCTGGGCCTCCAGAATGTTCTGGTAGGGTCCATGTTCTCAGTCACACACATAGTGGGCACTGCAAGTACTTGTAGGGTGAATTAAAGGGAATGAAGATAGTTAAAATTTTTGGTAGAGTGAACTGGGCACCAGTGGCTGACACCTGTATCCTAGCCATTCAGGAGGCTGAGATCTGAGGATGGTGGTTCGAAGCCACCCAGAGCAGGAAAGTCTATGAGATTCTCATCTCCAATGAACCATCAGAAAGCCAAAAGTAGAGCTGTGGCTTAAGCAGTAGAGTTCTAACCTTGAGCAAAAAATAAAGAAAAATAATCTAAGGGTCAGCATCCAGGCCCTGAGTTCAAATCTCAGTTCTGGTGCATTCATGACAGACAGATGGACAGACACACAGACACAAGATACACAGACACACAGACACATACACAGACACACCCCATCTTGGCAGAACATACATTTTCTTAAAAACCAGATGAAAAAGAGGTTCAGAAAGGTTGACTGTCCTGCCCAAGACCATACACCATACAGCTTATGGTTGGCAGCATTGGAACCCCAGCTTAGGTGTTTACTTAGTTAACAAACAATCACTGCTCACCTATCATTGGTGCCCTGCTTGGCATTGGGGAAAATAACGCCAAATACCATTCATTAACTCTATCAAGGATCTCACAGTCCAAAAGAAGACAAACGGATGAGTGTAACGGTTAACACTTGCCATCACTGATCGTGAATTCCATGCTGGTAATCTTGCCTTCATAGTCATATGCATTCACATTTAATCCCTCTTTGACTGTTATGAGGGGACAGGTTATACACTGTAAGTAGGGACACTGAGACATAGAATGGTTAAGTTGTTTTGCCCAGGCCACAGTGCAAGTCAGAGGCCAAGTTGTAGCCAGACCAAGGCAGATCCCAGAGACATGTCCTATCTGCTTTGAGAATGATGTGGCATTTCCCTCCCGTTGACATCCCCCAGGCGTAAGATAGGGAGGACGATCTTCAAGAACAAGTTTTCTTTTCTTTAATTGAGCTGTATGTCCAGAGTCATGCATGGGGCTGGTAAGAGATGTAGGAAACCAATGGACTTAATGAGACTCAACCTCGAACCTACAAAGCATCCGTACCACATGGTAGACACACAGAGGGGCAGGCCGAAGAGACCGACCTGGGGATGCCGGCTTCAGCTGTGCCTGCCAAAAGGAAGAGGAGCAGCAGGACTTTGTCCAGGGTGATCTGGGAGGAGGCCACAGGAAGGCTGACGCAGGATGCGTGCATTATGATGCATAGAAGTGACTCACATGGTCCTGCTGCCCAAGACTTGAGGCATTCACCTCTCAGCAGAGTGGGAAATGAGATGCCTGTAACCTTGAGAGCAAAGATGTACCAATGCCTGTCAACTGGCTAATGGACTGCCTGGGCCTACCTGGTGCTGGTCATCTCAGACCTGCCTGAGGTATTGATTTCATTTCAAACAGGTTGTAAGATACTCTCTTCTTTCATTGGGAGAGGAAAATGTTGCTATTTTCTTTTCTTTTCCTTTTTTAACTTTTCCTCGAGTACGAAGTGCCTTTGAAAGATTTTAAGCAATGGATATTATCCTACAATCAGAAGTTACCCTGCTGTTAGATCTCTATTCAAACCCAGGCTCAGCTAACTCCCGTGCTAGGTACTTATTATGTGCCAGATGCTTGAATTGAACTAAGTTTGCTGAATCTTCAGAATAACCCTGAGAAGTAGGGTGGGGGGAGAGGTTCTATCACCTCTGTCTTTCTAGATAAGGAAACTGAGGCAGGTGCATGAGTTTATGCGCTCATCAATGGTGGATCCAAACGAGCACATGAGTGAGTTCAGAAGCTCATAAATAAATATCTGGGTGAAGTTTTGGCCTCTATTCTCTTTGTCCCAGAGCCCTGGCTCTGTCATCTACACAGAAGCTACTGAAAATCTCCTAGTGATAAGGATGGTAGCGACAATGGCTGTGATAAGACTCTACTAACCAACTTCAATTACTTTGCTATATCCCAGGTAAGTAACCACCTCACCACTTACGGGAACAAATTTACTTGCTCTGCAGAAGCAACTTCACTTTGCTCTGTGAAGCAAAGTTCTTTTTTTCTGAGGAGGAAGCCGAGGCTAACAAGGTGGAGGCGATGTGCTGGGCTTTATCCCTACAGATAGGGGACTTCAAGTCATGGCCAGTGGCCTCTGGATTGGAGGCCATCTACCTAGTTGGGAGTCCAGGTTCCATTCTTCACCCAACCCATCCCATCCCTCCTCCACCCTAAAAGAAGAACAAAAGGAAACCTTCCCTGGAAGCACAAGGCAAGGATGTCAGCATCCTGCATCACCATGGCAACCAGCCCTCCTCCATCTCCTCAGGAGGAGGGAGGTGGGGGGGGGGGGGAAGCAAAAGTCAAATCTAGCCTCCTGTGGAACATTCTGTGGGTAAACACTGGGACCAGTGTGTTTGAGCCTCTGTTTCTTCACTTCAATAGGGTGAATCATTCCTAGATCAGGGGCCGGGAAGCTAGCCAGTTTCCTAAGTAGGTAAGGTTAACGGTGCTCTCACAGAGATGGCGGGGTCACTTTGAAAATTAATCCTGTTTTTTTATTTTCTTTTTTTTTCTCTAGAATTTGAGCTTATAAATGAGCAGATTAGAAATCAGAGGAGAGAAACAAATGGCAGTTCCTGGCAAGGGAATTGTAAGCATTACCACATCCCCCTTCTTAGGCTGACATCATCTTATTACCCATCTCTTGGCAAGGTCCTGTCTACTTGAAGACGGGCAGATAAGAGAGAGAACATAGATGCCAAGAAGCCAGGGACGTGAAAGCTTTTTGCCACTGTGTTCACAATGCTTAACCTAGGGCCTGACTCATGGTAATTCCTAGTCCACTCATGACCTCGGCTACAAGCAAGGATTTGGTTTGGGGCACGGGGTTGGGGGTGGGGAGGGAAATGCTTTTGTTGCCAATATTTGCTTAAGCAGCTTACTTTGATCTTGGAGAAGGGAACACGGGAGGTGAGATTAGAAAGACAAGACTCAGTAAACTACAGGACTATGGAGAAAGAGCATCTCAGACCAAAATCATAAGCAGATTCCAGGGTAGTAGCTGCTCTCTGTGGATGGGAAGTGGGTAGCTGGCTCTGCAAGAGAAGTGGGGGGGGGGTGGATACAATGAGGGGATGGTGGGGGAAGGGAGGAGGAGCCAGGGATGTGATAGAAGTTTCATGCTGAATGTTGTGTGAAGTCACTGGAGAATTCTAAGGGAAGAAAAAGGAAGGGGGCTGTGTTATTCTCAGAGCCTGGCCTATATAACCGGTACTCAAACACTGGATGAATGGGCTGAGATAATGCATAGAAAGTGCTTTTGAACCAGTGAAGTATTACAGAAATGATAGTCATCGTCACTCAGAGGAGAATAAGACACTGCTCTCTCCCCACTCCCCCGCCGCCACCATAGCATTCTTTGAGATGACAAAGCTATTACAGACTTCTGGGTTGCACCCCATTTCTGTGAAAATAATTTCAAGCTGCATCAAGATGCAAGGCTGGCACACAGACTCCTGAAGAAACTGCCACCAGCTGAGGAATTCTCTCTTGTCCACCTGAGATAGCACAGCAAGATAAGGAAGGGGGAAACTTTCCTGATAGCTGAGATCTACAGGGTCTGGTGTGGAGGAGATGGGTTCTAATGAAGTTATGACTTCCACACTGACCTCATCTCCACAATTCAGTCTTCTTATTAAAGCCAGTTGGAGGTTGGGACAGCCAGAGCTGTGACCTGAAGAGGGAATGAACAGTAGGACCTTGTTGCAACCTCTGGTGCAAAGATATGAGCTGCAAAGTGGGAGGAAAGAGGCGGAGGGCAGCTCAGGATTGAGAGCATGCATTATACAGTCAGAAAGACACACACACACACAAACACACACAGAAGCAGAAGCAGATTGGAGCAGTGGAAATTCTGTACTTTGGATCATGTTGAATGTGCTGCTTCGAAACACCATGCTAAGTCATCATGGATAGATTCTCACTGTCATGTGAATGAGACAAAGAGTGGGCCTCTGCCCACACTTAGTTACAGCCAGCAGGTTTCAGCACTCTGGACAGCAGCCAGGGGGTAGGTTCATCTGCCACCCCTCAGGAGGTCGGGGACAGAGATTCAAGAAGACTCCCAGGCCAATGGGGCAC